TTATGGAAAATGGTACAGTCCCATTACAGAACCATTCGTCGAGATTTGTAACCGTTAAATCATCATGTAACCTTCGTGGATAGTTGATCTAACCGTTACAAACCCCGACTACGGTAGAATCTCCCGTAAACATATCAGATACCATCAATTCTTATCCTTACGATCCACCTTCCAAACAGAATCCCACCTCAAAAATCACAAAAGAAATCAAAATCGACAACCCTAAAAAACAGGGGATGGTCAAGATTTTCCCCTAAAAAATGCAAAATGTATAAAATTTGCACCCAAAAAGAAAAAAAAAACATTGAAAATAAGAACAACGGGCAAAAGGGCTCTTCAATTTTCACCTGCTGAGGAGAATTATAACCTGGAGGCTCGCGAAGAACATCGCTGTCCAAAGGCATATCTTGGCTCAGCCCATTTGGCCTCACATAGCTGCTCGTAAACCCGCCGTCGCACAACCCAAGTGCTGAAACGAGGATTAAGGCCGCGAGGAGATGAACTGAACTGGTAAAAACACAGCGACCTTCCATTTTCTGTGAGCTTCGAGTTGTTGGTGTGAAAAAGGCCAGTGCTTTAGCCTTATAGGGCGAGTTTTATCTGTTGAAGGAAAAGGAATATCCATTTTATAGGATACGAATATTTGGGAGGCCGCTGCCATTCTTATCATCTCTTCTGGTAAACATTTATTGCAGCTCCTTTCATAAGCTTGACACAAGTGACAAGAGTGTTTTATTGAAGAGAATCATTTGTTGTACAATCGAAATTTGTTCACCCTAAACGAGGATTGTATAGTCATTTTTTTTTTTTGTTTTCTTTTGAGTTATATTATTTATACTTTTCTTTTTCAGATCAGAAAAATAGTATCAATATGAAAAAATATTTTTTTTTTTTCCTATTTCCACCTGTTTATTTTTTTTTCCCGCTAATTTTCTATTTTTCAGCTAGATGAAAAGTTGGGATTTAGCACCAAGAGTGCATACGGGATCTAGCCTTCGTTGATGCGAACGAAGGTAGACTGTTCAAGAACGCCTATAGTCGTGCGTATCGAGCGCAAACGAGCAGCTAGATTGACTAAGGCGCACGGTATCGAGTAGGAGGGAACACGGGTCAACCAGGCACCAGACGAGGTTCACGGGTAGCGAGAAGACTGGGCGCGCGGAGGGACTGTGGGGGCAACGACCTCAGCTCGATCTGAGCTAGGAGTTCTTCCCTTTCCTTAGCCCAGATTGACCGTTGTGCATAAAGGGCGTCTGCCTCTCGTCAGAACTCGTCGGTCTCCCGGGCAAACTTCTTCTTAGCGCCTCGAGGGCCGCCCTCTATTTCCCAGGCTAACTGCCAAATGTGTCATCTCTAGCGTTAATCTCTGCTTGTCCTTCCGCAGCTCACCGACCTCCTTTTGGAGGGCCTCTTTGACCTTCACTTGATCCTGAAAGGAGTGGACTTTACCCTCGCAGATCTCGTGAGTATCTTCCAACGCCTCGTGGCTGCGGCTCTCCATCTTCACCTCCCTGGCAGCATGGAGGAGGCAGAGCATGGCCTGACATTACTTGTGCATGCTCAATCTTCAGGGTCGGGGTCAACATCCTATCGTACCTCGGCGGTGGGACTCCAACACATCATGGGAGCGTAACAGCCTTGATCATCTCCTCGGTCAGGTGATACTTGTTCGGCAGCTCTGAATGAATCGACGACTGGGATTGCACAAACTAGTAATTTTGAAATTCTGCCTACCTAAGGAGGTTCGCCTTTTTGTCCAGGTCGGGAGGGAGGTACTGTCGTTCCTTGCTGGTGAATTAAGGCGTCGATTTTTTTAGTCAACTTGGCCCCTGGAGGAGCTGCCGACTTCATCTTTTTTGGCCTTGTGGCCTCGCCCTCACTCTCGGAAGGAGCTGACTTCTCCTCAGTTTGGTTCTAGCTACCTTTTTTTAAGTTAAAATTTGATGGAGGGGAGGGGGAAAATAGACTTGGGATAACTAAACTTTTAAAGTTAAACTTGAAAAAACCATCTATAAAAATCATAATCAAAATTCCACTCAAATCTCATAATTTTTCATTATTCCTCTTGAATTCGAAAATCTTAAAAAGTCTCAAATCTCATAATTTCTTTAATTGTCACTCAAAATCTCAAACGAATACTCGTTGACAACTGATCACATTCCATTTCACTATTCTTTTGCAACAGCAGATATCTCTGCAGATAAGATAAATGAGTTGATTTGTTTTCCACTACATTATTCGAGTGAGATATCAAAATTTGTATTAATATGAATTGGAACATTTAAATTTGAATGAAAAATATGAGAAAATTAGTTATGACAATTAATTATACAAGGGGAAAAGCATTATGGTCTATGCTTTTTATGCGGTGGCAAGATTAGATAAAAGCGTCCTTATTCCCTTACATCTCATCTCGTGATCTGTTTAATCCCACTTTGGAAAATATCATCATAATCTACTGATAATGTCTGGCCAAGCATGCGAATCGCAATGCAAGTATAATAATGAGTGTTCATGTAGCTTTGGGTACATAATTATTATAAAAGATATATGAAAACTAAATTATGATATTTTGATAATAAAATCTATATATATATTAAAAGTCAACCTATTTACCAAAAATAGTAGCAAGAAAAGTCAACACACATTTAATGCATACTTTATTTGAATTTTTTTTACTATATGCATTAAATGCTTGCATATTTACATTTACTATCCAAATATGATTTTCAAGATTTTTTTCCTTAAATAATTTATGCAATGATTTTACTTATATCCATTATAATTAATATTTGTCGAGTAATATTTTTTAACCTTTATTTAATTATATAACACTAATATTTTTGTAAAAAAAATTAATATTATTTATTATTTAAAAGATAATGATCACATCATTAAATGATTTTATTAATGGTTAAATAATAAAATTATAGTTATTCTTTAAAATTTCGACATGTTATTTATTTGTATATTATTGTCAATTATGATAGTGTTTTTATCCTTTTTTTTTTGTTATGTTTCAAAAATGAACTTATTGTAAAATATTTTTCTATTGCATAATATGTTAAATAAACTATAAAGCCTTAGGATGAAAATTAGAAAAAATCTCTTGATTATGTAAGGGATTTATTTTTTGGCAATTGCTAAATCATATTTTTCTAAAAAAAGAATTATTATGAGAAAATTGAATTCTAAAAAACATGTGTGTGTATTTTGTAAACATTATACTCAAAATTTTATTTTGAATTTCATTACATAAAAAAGAATACTTCTATAACTTTTTTTATAAATAATAATAATTACATTATATGACTGTAAATTTTATAATAAAATAATAATTGAGTATTATATGGTGAACAATAATTAATAAAATTTTTATTTTTTCCTATATCAATAAATAAATATGTATTCTAAAATTAAATAAATAATAGTATCACGTGTTAGCGGAATTATATATTAATTAACATGTTAATTTTTTGGCTTAAATAAACACCACTTATTAAAATATGTGAAATATGGATGATCCAAGCCTATTGTTTTTTGTCTAGACATACAAGTCCTATAGAAATAATTGACTTATTATATGTATCACGTGCATCGCACGGGGTATGCACTAATAAATGACCTTAAAATTGTGCACCTCGTGCATCACCCGTGTTCACATTTTGGCCTATTACAGGTCACTTACTATATATATCCCGTACTTTTTTTCTTATTCATTTATATGATTATAAGAGTGGATAAATGACCTTAAAATTGTGCACCCCGTGCATCGCACGGGCTCTGTACTAGTTATTTTAATCTATATTAGAATATGACTTCCAAATCTTAATTAAAGTAACTAACACCAATATTATCCAAAATACTAAGGCTATGTTTGGTTCAAAAGAGGGGAGGGGAGGGAAAGTAATTTTACCTTGTTTGGAGGGATTTTGTAGGAGGGGAGGTGAAGGAAAATGATTAACCTTGTTTGGTTAGAAGATGAAGGGGGAGGGAAAATAAAACTACATGGACAAATATACCCTTATTTATTATATAATATTATATTTACAAGATATAAAACTAGAGAGACATATTATGTAATTATAATGAATTGAGAAGGACATATTAGTACAAAAACTTGTAAGATTTAACTTCCCCTCCAAATTCCCCCAAAATTGGAGGGGACATGATTTTCCC